GAGAATGATGAGGGCAACAAATGTATAAATGTGCTTGACACAATGGATGGATGGATGGATTGTGATAAGAGTTGTATGGGCCCCAATAAAATGATTGAAAACAAAAAGAACCCAAAAGAAACCTACATAAATAAAAGAATGTTCCATGCTTATGGATAGAAATATTTATTATTATGAAGATGTCAATGCTGCCCAAAACAATCTAGAAATATAATGTAATTTTGATCCAGATCCCAATATCATTCTTTAAAGAAATTGAGAAACTTATCACCAAATGTATATGGAAAGGGAAGAGATGCAGGATAAGCAAAGCGTTCCTTAAGAACAGAGGAGTAGACTTCCACACGTGTTTGACTCACCAATCCCTTTCCTTGGGCTAAACCATAAAGAAGGAAGAACCACAGCATGAAAGGACATATGTGTATCTATGTTCATGCAACCCTGTTCACAACAGCAGGAAGATGGAAACAACCTAAATGCCCGTTAGTGGAAGAATGGATCGATCAACTTGGGTGCAGAGACACAATGGAGTATTATGCATCGTTCAAGAATAAAGAAACTGCAAAGCACCTCCTGGCACAGAGGAGATTATGCTGAGTGGAATTAGTCTACCATAAAAGGACAAAGACTGAGGCTACTGAAAGAAATGAAACATATCAAATATTTTCATACCAAAAGCAACGGACTTTGATGGAAGTGGAAAGGAGTGAAGGGGAAGCAGTAAGTTAGAGCGTGGACAGGTGTTTACTTGGGTGAAGGGAAGATAGTATTCTATAAGAGGTAAAAGAGAAAAGCCAGCACAGGCCAAGCTACCGAGAAATTTCACAAGTAGTTTGAGCAGTTGAATAAAAAAATGATTCTTTCAAATGTAAACTTCACCTATTTAAGGAGCCCTCGTGGTGTAGTGGTTACTATTTTTCAAACTTATTTAAAACTCACTATGAGTCAACATTGACTCAATGGCAGTGAGTGGCAATGTCTGTCACAAATGGAACAATTAAATTCAGTGAAATAAAAAATAATGAAATCATCAAAATTTATATTAGTAGACATTTAAGTATTTGTTCATTTTGATTTTAGTTGTCATTGTGTATGTTGGATTCCGTTTTGTTGAAAAAACAAGACAACAAAGAGTGGATCTTAAACTTTTTCTTATGCACTGCCATCTAGATGATGCTGACTCATAGCAACCTCGTCACTGGATTTCTGAGACTGTAACTGTTTACAGGAGTAGAAATCCCAGTCTTTCGCCTGCAGATCAGCTGGTGGTTTCAAACTGCTGACCAGGTGGATTCCAGCCCAATGTAGAACCACGACACCAGATCCTTGAAAAGCTTGCCGGCTCCCAATGTGTCTATGGATACAAAATTCCTAGGGATGATAAGGCTGCTAACTAACCACGAGAGAACTCAAGAGAAGTTGTGCTCTCTCTCAGCCCAGCCCTTCCCCAGGAGAGGAGGGAAGCTCCTGCAAAGGGTATATGACTAGAGTCAGCATGAAATTTCTGAAGCTGAAGAAATGTAGACACTCAAACAGACATATCCACGTATTCTTATGTAACTGGGAAAATGAAGGAGGGCAGAGGGTTCCAAGGGAAAGCAGAAGCAGAGAGAATAACAACCAGAATGAGGCTCAGGGCCAAGAAATGGGCTAGAGAGACAAAATAACATAGACAAACATATACAATGGTAGGTTTCAGAGCAGATTACAAAAATCATTGTGAGTCATCAATGGAAATGCTGTTGTTTAAAAATAAACCTAGCATTTAGACAGCCTGGAGCTCTTCTGGGAGAAGAGAAGTTGGATTACATAAGGCTCTGTCCCTGGTACATACAGTAGACAAATTAAATAGGTATGTGTGAGGTGGGGGAGGGGTGGGGGATAGTGATTCAAACAAGTTAGTTCCTGTGGAAGGTGAACTCAGGGCTCTATCCTGAGAAAGTCCCGATGTCAGGTGGAAGGCTACAGAAGATTTGGACAGCCTAGGATCCGGTTTTGTTTCTCTCATTATTTATTTGAAACTTTGAGCTCTTTCAGGGTAAATAGTGCATAGTTTAATCCCTGAAATCCCTACTTAGTGTGTGCCTAGCACACAGTAAATTCTTAGTAAATATTTGCAGAATGAATGAATGATTTGTTAAGTAAATAACTCAGGTCTTACTTTCCACAACCATAAAAGGCAATAATGGATCAAGTTGCCTCCAGGTTTCTATTGACCCCAAATTCTCAAAACCTGAGGACTGATATTTGAGTACTATCGTCCTATAAACGGCACGTATATGTTGTGCATGCGAAATCAAATCTCAACACCCAAGGCCCATCTCAAAGGCTGCTTTCTCCACAGTGCTTCCCATCCCTTCCCACAACAAATTGTACCTCTGCTGACACACATTCTGCTTTATTATTGGGAGCTGGGGCTGTCACTCCTCCCTACTCCAACCTTCGTCTGTGAGCCTGAGAAGACAGAGTAGTATCTACGCTGTGCCAGGTAATTCATTTAATATCTTAACAACACCTGAGACAAATCCTATTATCTTCGCTTCCCAGATGAGGAAACTGAGACACGGAGTTAATAACTTGCTTATCATTAGACTCCTCGTAGTAACAGGGCCAAGATCAAGGTTTGGTTGTCAGCCTCCAGAGTCCTTGTCTTTAACCAGGACCCTGTCTTGTTCCTCTTTAGACCCCTATAACTCACATCCCACTGTTCAGCACAGAGCGAGTGGGCTGAGCGAATGAAAGCAAAGTGGTCATCAGAAAGGGCTGAGGTCCATTTGAGCACCCCTTTGCCTCCATTTGCGCCATTCCTTTGAACACCATTTGCCAAATGCCTAGCACTTACCTGACATTTGGAGTCAATATTTCATGATATTCATAAAGCACTCACCCATCCCTCCATCCACTCTGTCTGCATGAGTACCTGGACAGATGATAATGCCATTTTTCAGGGTGGAGAAAGCATGGGGAAGATTAAATTCAGCGGGGCAGGATTGATATTCACTTGGTACATTCCAAGACTGAAGTCCCAACTGGGCCAGATGGTAAAACCCCTTTTGCTCAGAGGCCCCCTGGTACTCCAGCTGCCTGGCTTTTCCTTCGGGATCCTCAGATCCTCCCACTAGCCAGCAAAGAAAAGGTTAATTCCTAGCCCAGTGGTGGACCTTAAGTATGCTGATCCAAAATTATAGGGACCTGTTAGTGCCTATGTACCATATGTATATATGTAAATACCATATACATATGGTACATAGGCACAAGATCCAAAAGTCCCAGGTTATTTATAATATTACTGCTGGGGATTGTGGAAGGAAGCAGGTGAGTCAAGGCTTTACTTTGGAAATAAAACATTTAAGATGGCTATGAGACATTCAAATAGAAATATCAACAAAAGCGAAATATGTGGGCAGAATAAGAGAGCTCTGGGCTAGCAAGAGATGCTATTGGCTCCCCACTGCCTATACAATCAAGTTCAAAGCCCCTATAAAAAACAAAGAAAAAGAAGCTCGCAGCTTGTTGATGCTGACTCATAGTGACCCTATAGGACAAGATGGAACTGCCCCTGAAAGTTTCCAAGACCCATCTTTCTCCTGCGGAGCAGCTGGTAGTATTGAACTGCTGGCCTTGTGGATGGCAACCGAATGTGAAACCACTACACCACAATGCCCCCTTGGGTTAGCATTACAGGTCTTTACCATACAACTCCCAGCTGTCTTCTCAGCTCCATCTGTTGCCGCTTCCCTTCCAAGCCCCTGCTGTCTTGCTGCTTAGAGATCACTCTGATTTCTAGCACGTGCTGCTATTCTCTCTGCCTGCAAAGCCCTTTCACCGCTTTCCCTCACCACCCTCCATCTGCAGGCCCAGGACATCCCGTGCCTCCTCCTCCCTGAGGCGTCCTGCCCGACTCTGCCTTCCATGATGCCTCCAGAATAAAGAGAGCACCCTGCTTTGTACTTTTCTGTTTAAATTCCCTGCCTCCTGCTCTTTGAGATCCTGCAGGTCAGTGGCAGGGCCTACGGGCCCCCTGGCTCCCACAGAGATCCCAGCATGGACCCATCTTTCGGTAAATATTAAAGGAATGGGATGGTAGGACAGAACTGTCGTATGCACTACATCTTCATTCATATTCCACAGCCTCTGTGCATATTGAGCCATGTGTTTGGATGAAATACATTTGGTCTTCTCAAAAGACAAAGCTCTTTAAAGGCAAAGGCCACCTCTCCCATATTCCTACTCACTCTCTTGCAGCCTCAGAAAGACACACGATGAAAAAATACAGGAGCCTGGTCAGGCAGAAAGGAATCTCAGCCTGGGCTCTTACAAGTGTGTGACCTTAGGGAAGTTACTTAACCTTTCTGAGCCTCTATTTTTTCCATTGTAAGAACAGGGATAACAATCCCACTTTATAAGTTGGCTATGAAGACTGGATAAACTGATGTTTTAAATGGTGTTCAGCATGACCCCAGGTACACAGTGGATGCTGGATCTGTCTGATCTTCCTTCTGAATTTCTCATCACCTAGAGTCCACGTCATGGTCAAGAGGCAGGATGAGGGAGAACAGGATGGGTGTTGTGAGAGGAAGTGGTTAAATGTTGAATTAAGATCTGGTGGTTGTGGGGTCAAAGCCAGGATGGCCCTTTGGGTAGGCCAGGCATCAAGAGGTGGGTTGCCTCCCTGCTTGGCAGGAAGAAGGATGTCCGGGGGCCAAGGATGACCCTTGGGCTCTTGGCCACGGGAAAGGAGTGAGCCGTCTGCATTAAGGAGGAAGGGCGCTGGAGTTTCAGGATACCCAAAACGGCCTGTGTCGCACAAGTCAATGCTTCCAGAAATAAGTGCATACGTAAATAAGTAGGTACTGTTGGTTGTTTGTTTGTTTTAAGCCCCAACTCCAGCTTCTTGCTCCACTTTATCAAGCATGAGAGCAGCATAATAAGCAGAGAAGGGAAACCCAGAGGTTTTAGATTTTGGCTTCTGTGGGGAAATTACAAGTGTGGTCTTTGCTTCTATTTCTTTATGAAAATTACCTTGCAGGACATGGGCACCCTGCCACTATTGGGGAGCTGTGGGAATCCAGTTTGTTCCCAAAACACTGCCATGAGGAGGTGAGGTCATAAGGGATCATTGTTTCACCCGAAGGCAGCCCTGATCAAAACACACAAAAAAAGAGAGATAAAATAAATAATGTCATGAAAGAGACACTGCAACGGGGCACAGGATGCTAGCTTGAGTTTTTCTATTATCCTAGCTGTGTGCCCAGGGCCACGTCTCTTTCTCTCTTTGCATTTCACTTCTTTCATCTGCAGAAAAATGAGAGGAGTCGCAAGGCGGCCTCGGAGGCCTCTTCTACCTCGAATCTTCTATGAGTCTTTAGGATACACTTTGTTCAAACCCTTGAAAAGCACAGTAGCAGGAGCTGGACAATGCTGAGCTGGATGGTAGAACTGAATATTCCAGAGCTAGAGGAGAGTTTGAGAGGTCACCTGGATGATCCAGCCAGCCAGTACTGTGTGCAGGCCAGAACTGTGTAAGGCACGGCGAACCAGAAAAGGATCAGACTCAGTCCCGGCCCTGATGGAGCTCTCTGTCTAGAAGACTCAGGGCCGACATGGGAGCATAAATGAACGATTACACTACTCTGGACTGGGAGCTGGGAGAGCGCATGGAGAAGGTAAGGTAGGGGGGCAGAGTGAGTGAGATCAGCTCAGTTTGAGCAAGCCAGTAAAGTCTTGCAAGGTAAAATTTTATTTGAAGAATAAGTTTACTAGGTGGATAAAGGAAGAAACAGTAAATAGCACTTCCACAGGATCGCTGTGTGACATGACCATTCCAGTTCTAGGAGATGAGCTCTTCAGAGAAAGACATTCCAGGCCTTAGGAAATGACTAGACCAGAGTTTCTTCAACCTATGTCTGTGACTCTTTGGGATTAATAGATGTATTATTGGGAACCTGAAACTTGTCTGTAAGCATTTGAAAATGTTTTATTTAACATTGATAATAACCCAAACAAATTGAAATGGGCATGTTCCAAATCATCTGGACTACTATCTGTCATGACACTTAGGCATTTAATTTTAAACTATGATCACTTGAGTTTCAAATAAAAACTATAGCCATTGAGTTGATTCTGGCGCATAGCGACCCCATTGAACAGAGTAGAATTGCTTGATAAGGTTTCTGAAGCTGTACAATCTTTACAGAATTAGACTGCCTCATCTTTCTTCCACAGAACAGCTGGTGGGTTTGAATGTCCACCCTTTAGATTAGCCACCCAATACTTAACCCACTACACTACAGAGACCCTTGATTCCAAATAGTACTATATTGTTACAAAACTAACCAGAAAAATAGAGAAGTGGACTTGATAAGACAATACTTCTGTGTCAAGTGAAAATCAAGCGTGGGCTAGGTGCGCTATGAAAATGAAGGTTTTCCAAGAAGTGGGTTAGAGAAGCATGGTGGGACATGGTGAGTGGCACAGTCTTAGGGCTATGCTGTGGCAGACTCTAAAACTTGTGCCATAGCGATCTGGTATACTCAGGTTTTGAATAGCAATTTTGAGCTCCAGCAAAATCAGTATTTTCAAATGACACAGCAATTTGGGAAAACAGTTTGGCTTGTTGTTGTCGTCAGGGGCCATCGAGCTGGTTCCAACTCATAGCGACCCTGTGTGCAACAGAAGGCAGCACCGCCCAGTCCTGTGCCAGCCTCACGATTGTTCTTATTGTTGCTACCACTGTGTCAACCCACCTCCCTGAGGACTCTCCACTTTTTCACTGCCTCTCCACTTTACCTGGCATGATGTTCTTCTCCAGGGCCTAATCGCTCTTGATAACATGGCCAAAATATGTGAGAGGGTCTTGCCGTCCTTACCTCTAAGGAGCATTCCCGCCATACTTATTACAAGACAAATTGGTTTGTTCTTTTGGCAGTGCAAGTGTATCTGCAATGTTCTTCAACAGCACCATAAGTCAAACACGTCGATGCTTCTTCAGTCTTCCTAATTCCATACCCAACGCGCACAGGCATCGTAGGCAATTGAATACCATGGTTTGGGTCAAGGGTACCTTAGTTCCCAAAGTAACATCTTTGCTTTTCAACACTTAAAAATTTTTGTGTGTGTGCAGGATTATTTATCCAATGTGATGCATCATTTGATTTCTTGACTGCTGCTTCCATGAGCATTGATTGTGAATCCAGGCAAAATGACATCCTTGACTACTACAATCTTTTCTCGATTCATCATGATGTTATCTATTGGTACAGTTGTGAGGATTTGGGTCTTTACATTGAGATGGAATCCATACTGAAGGCTGCACTCTTTGATCTTCATCAGCAAGTGCTTCAAGCCCTCCTCACTTTCAGCAAGCAAGGTGTGTGATCTGCATACAGTAGGTTGTTAATAAGCCTCCCTCCAATCCTGAGTCCACATTCTTCTTCATATCATACAGCTTCCCTGATGATATGCTTAGCATACAGATTGAATAAGCATAATGGGATGATGCGACCCTGACGTACACCTTTCCTGATTTTAAACCGGGCAGTATTTCCGTGTTTTGTTCCCACAACTGCCTCTTGATCCATGTACAAGTTCCTCATGAGCACAACGAGGTGTTCTGGAATTCTCATTTTTCTCAGGACCATCCACAGTTTGTTATGATTCATACAGTTTAGTGCCTCAGCATAGTCAATAAAACACAAGTAAACATCTTTCTGGTATTCTCTGCTTTCAGCCAAGATCCATCTGACATCAGCAATGCTATGCCTTGTTCCACGTTCTCTTGTGAATCTGGCCTGAACTTTTGGCAGCTTCCTGAGAAGCAGCCATTGTTGGATGATAAATTTTAGCAAAATTTTACTTGCATGTGATCTGAGTAATGTTGTTGTAGAATTTGAGCATTCTGTTGAGTCACCTTTCTTTGGGATGGGTACACATGTGGATCTCTGTCAGTCAGTCTTCCAAGTTTCCTGGCACAGACAAGTAAGTGCTCCCAGTGCTTCATCAGCTTGTGGAAACATTTCGATTGGCATTCCATCAATTTCTGGAGCCTTGTTTTTGGCTGATTCTTTCACAGCAGCTTGAACTTCTTCCTTCAGCACCATTGGTTCTTGCTCACATGCTACCAGTTTGGCAGTTCATATATACCCAGAAGAAATCAAGGCACAGATGCAGATGGAAACCCATATACCAATGTTTATCACAATACGTTTTATAAAGGTTGAAAGACGGAAACACCCTAAATGTCCATCAATAGATGAATAAATAAGCAAACTGTGCCCTTGGGATGTAGTGGGTAGGATCCACAAGGTCAGCAGTTCAAAACCACCAGTTGCTCCACAGGAGAAAGAAGGGGCTTTCTACTCCCGTCAGGAGTGACAGTTTGGGAAGCCATATAGACAGTTCTACCCCATCCTATAAGGTCACTATGAGTCTGTATTGACTCAAGGGCAGTGTTTTTTTTTCATATACATGAAATATTATGCAGTCATGAAGTGAAAAGTCCTATTGCATGTCACACATGGCTAGACTTTGAAAACATTATTGTAACAAAATAAGTCAGTTGCAAAAGGACAAATACAGTATGATCTCACTTATATGATGTAAGGTAATAAAAAAGATACCAAAGATTATTATCTTTCTTTTTTTTTTAAAGAGAGGACATTTTCATTAGATTAACACATCTAGGAGCATAAAGATAACGTGGCCATCTCTACCTTATCTTCAACCCTTGCATATAAATAGCGTCATGAATACAGAGTGAAATAGGTGAGTCTTGCTCTGTTCCATGAGGCAGTGTAGAGACTTCCAGTATTCAAATATATTCATCTAGTCAGATATCTAAATCTAAATATAAAATCAATCTATAGGTTATAAGATGACATTCACCATCTTTGTGAAAATTGAACATTACCAATCCAATCTAGCCTCAAAAGTCCAATCACACTTTAGGGAAAAGCAGGGATAACATTTGCTGGACAGAAATTTCTATCAATAATTTAAAAGTTTGATCAGCGTCTTTAACCACAGCCAGTGTTTAATTTAATTTGACTGTTCAACCCAAATATTCTATCAGTCATCCATGATCTGATTTCTGGTGTATGAGATCAACTTAAACGTGGTACATATTAAAAGAAAAAGTCACAAGATATTCTTATTGTATAATCAGCAGGGCAGTGGCCAACTATTACTCATTAGTAGATGTTTTTGAGATAAGCTATCAAGTCTGCCCTTTCTCCCTTCTTTTTAATGGCAGCAAAGGCCATTCTTGTTCCAGGGATGTATGTGCTTCTTGGGATTCACCAAATACTCCATCAGCGTGTCCTCTCCCCAGCTGACGCCTTTGCTCTCATTGGCACCTGTAAAATGAACCCAGGGCTTGACTGGTCTTCTCCCCAAACAAACATGTAGATTTGGCCCAGTCTGTGTTTGCACACCCCTTTCCACCATGTGGCACTGGGCACACTTCTGAACAAAAATCTTGCCCTTCTCAGTATCACCCATCATGAATTCACTCTCTTGGTGCACACCACATGACCATAACCATCCAGAGGCCGATGTCCCGCTCTCAAGTCCAATGACACACGGTCCGTGCCTTTGACGGTGTCTGTGCAACCAAACTCGCACCGCCTTCAACAAACCAAAGATTATTAATGCTTATGTGAGCATTGGACTGCTAACCTCAAGAGCAATGGTTCAAATCCACCAGCTGCTTCTTGGAAGAAAGTTGAAGCTATCTGTTCCTATAAAGATTTATAGCCTCAGAAACCATATACTGGGGCGCTGTGAGTTGGTAGGTTTGGGGGTTTTGGTTTTTAGAGTTGGGTGGGATGGTAGGAAAGGCAATTTTGTTAGAGGGGCATTCAATTTATATGAATGATGGTGGAATATTTTGAAAAAGGGTAGTATTAATGGTGGCACAGCATAAAAAAAATGCTCTGTGTCATTGAATTGTAAATGTGGAAGTTGTGCTTGTGAGAGTTTTGGTATTTATATTTTTTGCCATGAGAATAAAATAAAGTCCATTAGAAAAGAAGAAA